CCTGCTCCGGGGGACGCAGGCGGGAGTGTGGGCAGCCCGCTGGCCCCGGGGCTGGCCAAGGTGGCCGCGAGCTGTGGCAGGAGGTCGTGGCAGGAGCAATGAGCTGGCACTGCTCTCTGCGGGATCAGCACTGCCCACCCTGGGGACGCACAGGGCTGGGGGGTGGCTCTGCCCTTGCTGAGGACAGGGACTGTGGGGATTAGGGTGGAAGCATGTGGGCTGGCCGGCTCCTGGCTGCCACCGCAGTGTCTGTGCAGACCTAATCCAGTCGGATGACCAGGCAGGGCCATGATCTGCTTGCAGGAACAATCGGAGCTCTGTCCTTACCCCTGGAGGGAGTGAGGGGGTGCTAGGGGAGGGCAGCGAGCCTGCAGCTCGCTTTCCCCTCTGCCAGCCCGGTGCAGAGGCTTTTCACCTCGACACCTCCCCAAATGCTCTGAGCTGCTGGGGCGTCCCAGGCTGTACCGGGGGGACGTGGTGTGCTGCGGGGAACAGGCCTGGGTCTGTCCCCAGTGACTCTGGTGGTGCTGGAGGTGCGATGCTGCCCTAACAGGCAGGGCTGCAGCTCTGCAGGGAAGGGGTGCAGAGCTGCAGGCTGAGTCCTGGCCTTTCCTCTGCTGGCCCAGGGCAGGAGGAGTGCCCAGCTGCCACCGGCACCAGGGAACGCAGCCCCATGTCATGAGCACCATGTCTCGGGAAGCCAGCATGGTCTGCGACTTCCCTGGATAACACCAGCTGGTGCGGCGTGGGGTTGATTTGCGTGCTGCATTGTCCCCTGCTGCAAGCTTGCTCCCCACCATGGTCCAAGGTCCGGGGGACGCACGCAGAGAGGAGCAGGGTCCTGAGCTGGCAGCCAGGGGCTTTGCCTGCCCCTTCCCTGGGGACTGACGTGTGCTGGCGTGCTGCGAGCACCAGACTCCCCTGGTGATGGAGCCGTGGACACAAGTCCTGACCCCGGTGTTCGGCTCTTGCCGTCCTGTGCCACCAGCACTGGGCTGCCACGAGTCGAGTCCGTTCCCTTTCCTGCCCACGGAGCAGCTGGTGCACGGGGGGCCATGTCACGGGGGGAGCCCTGTGGAGCGGAGCAATTCCCCTTCAGTGGGCGGGGGCATGGCCTGCTGGCACGCGGTTCCCCCCAAGCGGGGGTGGTGCAGGCCTGGCTCCAGGTGCCAGGGTGCGTTTCCCTCGCTCCGCGGAGCACGGAGGGGCTTCAGGGTGAAGTGCATGACTTGGAGAGCCGCAGCCTGGATTTGCTGCCCCGGGGCTGAGGATGTCAGTCAGCCAGGTGCATCTTTCCTCCCCTGCTCGGCTCCGGCTGGCTGCGTAGCTGGCCAGGGTGGCGGCACATCTGCAGAGCTCTGATAAGCTTGGGGGGGGGGGTTAGCTGCAACCAAACTGTTTTGCGGCAGCCTGGGGCGGGCGGGGGGGGGGTGGCGCC